CTGAAACTACAGGTATAAAAAGGCTCTTATTGTGAAACTCACAGCTGGATGTCTCTCCAGGTGAAAGCTCTTATTGTGAAAGGAGTGTATAAAGGCTCTTATTGTGAAACTCACAGCTGGATGTCTCTCCAGGTGAAAGCTCTTATTGTGAAAGGAGTGTATAAAGACTCTTATTTTGAAACTCACAGCTGAATGTCTCTCCAAGTGAAAGCTCTTATTGTGAAAGGAGTGTATAAAGACTCTTATTTTGAAACTCACAGCTGAATGTCTCTCCAAGTGAAAGCTCTTATTGTGAAAGGAGTGTATAAAGACTCTTATTTTGAAACTCACAGCTGAATGTCTCTCCAGGTGAAAGCTCTCCCCGGGATGGGCACCACGATCGATGTGATCCTGATCAACGGGACCCTGAGAGAGGGAGAGACCATCATCGTGCCGGGGGTGGAGGGACCAATCGTAACGCAGATCAGAGGCCTGCTGCTGCCCCCCCCCCCTCAGGGAGCTCAGAGTCAAGGTACAGCTGCTCCTACAAAATAAAAGCCTCTAAAGCATGTATTTTATTGTGTTAAAAGTATTCAAGACTCAAAGGTGTTCTCATCAGATGCTCAGCAGCTGCAGGGTAGACATGGCAATGACATACTCCTGACCTGAGCTCCTCCAACAACGCAACATGTAGAATAAAACACAAATAAAAGTAGTGCAAGAAGTCTATATCCATGTAGATAGAATATGATCTGTACAAGAACAGAATATGAAATTAAACATTTTACATTGACACAAAATTAAATACGGTTTATTGCGGTGAAAACTATTTATATAAAAAAGTAGATTGCAAGATGACAAACAGGTGAAGGTTTATCGGGGCACTTAAAGGTGTTTGGTCCCATGTCATGCTTTTCCGATTATTACCCGTCCCCTTGTGTTCTGTAGCTTCTGCATGTGAACGGTCTGCAGAGTCACAAACCCTCACAGTGCACCCTGTAGCGAGTAAAACTCTAACACAGAGAAGACCTGTCTCTGCTGCCCCAGAACGCCTCGCTGGACATTTCTCTTTTTCCATTGTTTTCTTCCGGGGCCTATTGACGTCACTAAGTCCAAATAGAACAATAGGTACACAGCTATAGAACAATAGGTACACAGCTATAGAACAATAGGTACACAGCTATAGAACAATAGGTACACAGCTATAGAACAATAGGCGCACAGCTATAGAACAATAGGCGCACAGCTATAGAACAATAGGCGCACAGCTATAGAACAATAGGCGCACAGCTATAGAACAATAGGCGCACAGCTATAGAACAATAGGTACACAGCTATAGAACAATAGGCACACAGCTATAGAACAATAGGCACACAGCTATAGAACAATAGGCACACAGCTATAGAACAATAGGCACACAGCTATAGAACAATAGGCACACAGCTATAGAACAATAGGCACACAGCTATAGAACAATAGGCACACAGCTATAGAACAATAGGCACACAGCTATAGAACAATAGAACACACAGCTATAGAACAATAGGCACACAGCTATAGAACAATAGGTACAGAACAATAGGCACACAGCTATAGAACAATAGGTGCACAGCTATAGAACAATAGGCACACAGCTATAGAACAATAGGCACACAGCTATAGAACAATAGGTACACAGCTATAGAACAATAGGCACACAGCTATAGAACAATAGGCGCACAGCTATAGAACAATAGGTGCACAGCTATAGAACAATAGGTGCACAGCTATAGAACAATAGGCACACAGCTATAGAACAATAGGCACACAGCTATAGAACAATAGGTGCACAGCTATAGAACAATAGGCACACAGCTATAGAACAATAGGTACAGAACAATAGGCACACAGCTATAGAACAATAGGCACACAGCTATAGAACAATAGGTACAGAACAATAGGCACACAGCTATAGAACAATAGGCACACAGCTATAGAACAATAGGCACACAGCTATAGAACAATAGGCACACAGCTATAGAACAATAGGCTCACAGCTATAGAACAATAGGCACACAGCTATAGAACAATAGGCACACAGCTATAGAACAATAGGCACACAGCTATAGCACAATAGGCACACAGCTATAGAACAATAGGCACACAGCTATAGAACAATAGGCACACAGCTATAGAACAATAGGCACACAGCTATAGAACAATAGGCTCACAGCTATAGCACAATAGGCGCACAGCTATAGCACAATAGAACACACAGCTATAGAACAATAGGCACACAGCTATAGCACAATAGGCACACAGCTATAGAACAATAGGCACACAGCTATAGAACAATAGGCACACAGCTATAGAACACACAGCTATAGAACAATAGGCACACAGCTATAGAACAATAGGCACACAGCTATAGAACAATAGGCACACAGCTATAGAACGATAGGCACACAGCTATAGAACAATAGGCACACAGCTATAGAACACACAGCTATAGAACAATAGGCACACAGCTATAGAACAATAGGCACACAGCTATAGAACAATAGGCACACAGCTATAGAACGATAGGCACACAGCTATAGAACAATAGGCACACAGCTATAGAACAATAGGCGCACAGCTATAGAACAATAGGCACACAGCTATAGAACAATAGGCACACAGCTATAGAACAATAGGCACACAGCTATAGAACGATAGGCACACAGCTATAGAACAATAGGCACACAGCAGGAGCTCCAACAAGTCGTGTAGGACAGAGAGTGAATACACATACTATACAGAGACGCTGTTTGAGAAACCAATGAGAGTTTGGAACATTGAACAATGTAAATCTATTCTATCTATCGATGAACCCTGACCTCAACAATGGAATTATGATCAGTAGAAATGGCCGTGAGTCATGGGACCTTTAAAAGTCTTATTGGATGAAACTGTCTCTGAGTCTGGTGGTTTTTGTCCTGATGCAGCAGAGAGAACAGTTTGTGGCTGGGGTGATGGAGGTCTTTTATAATCCTGCGGACTTTCTCCCTGAGCCGCTGGGTGTAAATGTATTATTTGATGTATTAATGTGTTGATGTGTGTGTGCAGAGTCAGTACGAGAAGCACAAGGAGGTCTCCACGGCTCAGGGGGTGAAGATCCTGGGGAAAGATCTGGAGAAAACTCTGGCTGGACTCCCTCTGCTGGTGGCTCACAAGGAGGATGAGATCCCTGTGCTCAGGGTAAAACACACACACACACACACACACACACACACACACACACACACACACACACACACACACACACACACACACACACACACACACACACACACACACACACACACACACACACACACACACACACACACACACACACACACACACTTATAATTAATTAATGGAATATTTGTCTGTTATTCTTTTTAATTAATTACTTTTACTCTTTTATTATGTATTGTTACTGTTATTATTGAGTCTATATTTTCTTTATTTAATATTATTATTAAATAATATCTCTCTCCCCCCCCTCCTCTCTCTCCCCCCCTCCTCTCTCTCCCCCCCTCCTCTCTCTCCCCCCCCTCAGGATGAGTTGGTGCGCGAGCTGAAGCAGACGCTGAGCTGCATCAAGCTGGAGGATAAGGGGGTTTACGTGCAGGCGTCCACGCTCGGCTCTCTGGAGGCGCTGCTGGAGTTCCTGAGGACCTCCAAAGTGCCCGTGAGTTCACCTTCATCATCTCATCTGCACCAGGCTCTATGTTCAAGGCTCTTTAGTCAGGGATAGGGTCAGGGTTAGGGTCTGACCTCTGACCTTTGACATCTGACCTCTCTCTGCAGTACGCCGGCATCAACATCGGCCCGGTTCACAAGAAGGACGTCATGAGGGCGTCCGCCATGCTGGAGCACGACATTCAGTACGTACTTTAATGTGTGTGTGTGGTGCCTTCAGGTACCCGGTGAACCTGGTTTAAATGTGTATAATAGCAGTGTTTGTGGTGCGTTCAGGTACCTGATTATCCTGGCTTAAATGTGTATAATAACAGTGTGTGTGGTGCCTTCAGGTACCCGGTGAACCTGGTTTAAATGTGTATAATAACAGTGTTTGTGGTGCGTTCAGGTACCTGATTATCCTGGCTTAAATGTGTATAATAACAGCGTTTGTGGTGCGTTCAGGTACCTGATTATCCTGGTTTAAATGTGTATAATAACAGTGTTTGTGGTGCGTTCAGGTACCTGATTATCCTGGTTTAAATGTGTATAATAACAGTGTTTGTGGTGCGTTCAGGTACGCGGCGATCCTGGCGTTCGACGTGAAGATAGAGAGAGAGAGTCAGGAAATGGCCGACAGTCTGGGCGTTCGAATCTTTTCTGCAGAAATTATTTATCACCTGTTTGACGCCTTCACCAAATACAGAGAAGACTACAAGAAGGCCAAGCAGGAGGAGTTCAAGTACGACTCTTACTACCGTTTATATATATATACATACAATTCTGACTTTATTTTGAAAATATTAAAATTCTGACTTTATTTTGAAAATCTCAAACTTCTTACTTTAATTTGAAAATCCAATAATCCAATTTTTTTAATCCAAAAAATACTTCTAACCCTTAATCCATGTGCTTTCCCTCAGGAACATTGCGGTGTTCCCAGCGAAGGTGAAGGTGCTCCCTCAGTTCATCTTTAACTCCAGAGACCCCATCGTGATGGGCGTCACCATCGAGGCCGGGGTCCTGAGGCAGGGGACGCCGCTCTGCGTGCCCGCTAAGGGGGTCAGACTCTCAAATATTAATATTTATATATATGTACAATATAGATACTGTTTTGAAAATCCTGAATGTCCTCTTCCAACATGAGAGTAGCATGCTAACAAAGGTATCCCAACTGTAGCTGTGAACATGACAGGATGTCTGATTACCTAGAAGAGCATCAGGACTGTTTGAGGCATATGATAGCTATGTGATTAACATGATGATTCAGCCTCTATGGAGATAGACATATGACAAGCATGCTCATTTCTGACGTGGAGCTAATCTGAAGTAAACATTGAATACTGCTTTCTATTCCTCCATCTTGTGACTGTGTAACTCCCTCTCTTGGATATCAGCATGTGAAGGACACTGTTCAGGAACTAGTTGATGCTCTGTATGTGATGACTCCTTCCATTCTGGAGAGGATCACAGATACATGGATCCTGAGATTGAAGCTCAAGCCGGGGACCAGGGAGCGTTCTCTAACAAATATATATGTTTATTTGTAATATCTGTTTGTAGTTTGTGGACATCGGCATCGTGACGAGCATCGAGATGAACCATAAATCAGTGGAGAGCGCTAAGAAGGGTCAGGAGGTTTGCATCAAGATCGAGCCGATCCCCGGGGAGGCGCCCAAGATGTTCGGGAGACATTTTGAAGCCACAGACATGCTGGTGACCAAGGTGAGGAACATAGAGAACTACAGGAGACATAGAGAACCACAGGAGACATAGAGAACTACAGGAGACACAGAGAACTACAGGAGACACAGAGAACCACAGGAGACACAGAGAACCACAGGAGACATAGAGAACTACAGGAGACACAGAGAACTACAGGAGACATAGAGAACCACAGGAGACACAGAGAACTACAGGAGACACAGAGAACTACAGGAGACATAGAGAACTACAGGAGACACAGAGAACTACAGGAGACATAGAGAACTACAGGAGACACAGAGAACTACAGGAGACAGAGAGAACTACAGGAGACACAGAGAACTACAGGAGACACAGAGAACTACAGGAGACAGAGAGAACTACAGGAGACACAGAGAACTACAGGAGACATAGAGAACTACAGGAGACATAGAGAACTACAGGAGACAGAGAGAACTACAGGAGACAGAGAGAACTACAGGAGACATAGAGAACTACAGGAGACATAGAGAACTACAGGAGACAGGAAACTACAGGAGACACAGAGAACTACAGGAGACATAGAGAACTACAGGAGACATAGAGAACTACAGGAGACATAGAGAACTACAGGAGACAGGAACTACAGGAGACATAGAGAACTACAGGAGACAGGAACTACAGGAGACACAGAGAACTACAGGAGACACAGAGAACTACAGGAGACAGAGAGAACTACAGGAGACATAGAGAACTACAGGAGACATAGAGAACTACAGGAGACATAGAGAACTACAGGAGACATAGAGAACTACAGGAGACAGAGAGAACTACAGGAGACATAGAGAACTACAGGAGACACAGAGAACTACAGGAGACATAGAGAACTACAGGAGACAGAGAGAACTACAGGAACACACAGAGAACTACAGGAACACACAGAGAACTACAGGAACACACAGAGAACTACAGGAACACACAGAGAACTACAGGAGACAGAGAGAACTACAGGAGACAGAGAGAACTACAGGAGACAGAGAGAACTACAGGAGACATAGAGAACTACAGGAGACACAGAGAACTACAGGAGACATAGAGAACTACAGGAGACACAGAGAACTACAGGAGACAGAGAGAACTACAGGAACACACAGAGAACTACAGGAACACACAGAGAACTACAGGAACACAGAGAGAACTACAGGAACACACAGAGAACTACAGGAACACACAGAGAACTACAGGAGACATAGAGAACTACAGGAGACAGAGAGAACTACAGGAGACAGAGAGAACTACAGGAGACATAGAGAACTACAGGAGACATAGAGAACTACAGGAGACAGGAACTACAGGAGACACAGAGAACTACAGGAGACATAGAGAACTACAGGAGACATAGAGAACTACAGGAGACATAGAGAACTACAGGAGACAGGAACTACAGGAGACATAGAGAACTACAGGAGACAGGAACTACAGGACACACAGAGAACTACAGGAACACACAGAGAACTACAGGAACACAGAGAGAACTACAGGAACACAGAGAGAACTACAGGAACACAGAGAGAACTACAGGAACACAGAGAGAACTACAGGAACACACAGAGAACTACAGGAACACAGAGAGAACTACAGGAACACAGAGAGAACTACAGGAACACACATAGAGAACTACAGGAACACAGAGAGAACTACAGGAACACAGAGAACTACAGGAACACAGAGAGAACTACAGGAACACAGAGAGAACTACAGGAACACAGAGAGAACTACAGGAACACAGAGAACTACAGGAGACATAGAGAACTACAGGAGACATAGAGAACTACAGGAGACATAGAGAACTACAGGAGACATAGAGAACTACAGGAGACAGAGAACTACAGGAGAACAGAGAACTACAGGAACACAGAGAGAACTACAGGAGACACAGAGAGAACTACAGGAGACATAGAGAACTACAGGAGACACAGAGAACTACAGGAGACATAGAGAACTACAGGAGACAAGAGAACTACAGGAGACATAGGAACTACAGGAGACATAGAGAACTATAGAGAACTACAGGAGACATAGAGAACTACAGGAGACATAGAGAACTACAGGAGACATAGAGAACTACAGGAGACATAGAGAACTACAGGAGACAGGAACTACAGGAGACATAGAGAACTACAGGAGACAGGAACTACAGGAGACATAGAGAACTACAGGAGACATAGAGAACTACAGGAGACATAGAGAACTACAGGAGACATAGAGAACTACAGGAGACAGGAACTACAGGAGACATAGAGAACTACAGGAGACACAGAGAACTACAGGAGACATAGAGAACTACAGGAGACAGGAACTACAGGAGACATAGAGAACTACAGGAGACAGGAACTACAGGAGACATAGAGAACTACAGGAGACATAGAGAACTACAGGAACACAGAGAGAACTACAGGAACACAGAGAGAACTACAGGAACACAGAGAGAACTACAGGAACACACAGAGAGAACTACAGGAACACACAGAGAACTACAGGAACACACAGAGAGAACTACAGGAACACACAGAGAACTACAGGAACACAGAGAGAACTACAGGAACACACAGAGAACTACAGGAACAGGAACTACAGGAGACATAGAGAACTACAGGAGACACAGAGAACTACAGGAGACAGAGAACTACAGGAGACATAGAGAACTACAGGAGACATAGAGAACTACAGGAGACAGAGGAGACAGAGAGAACTACAGGAGACATAGAGAACTACAGGAGACATAGAGAACTACAGGAGGCAGAGAGAACTACAGGAGACAGAGAGAACTACAGGAGACATAGAGAACTACAGGAGACATAGAGAACTACAGGAGACAGAGGAGACAGAGAGAACTACAGGAGACATAGAGAACTACAGGAGGCAGAGAGAACTACAGGAGACAGAGAGAACTACAGGAGACATAGAGAACTACAGGAGACATAGAGAACTACAGGAGACAGAGGAGACAGAGAGAACTACAGGAGACACAGAGAACTACAGGAGACAGAGGAGACAGAGAGAACTACAGGAGACACAGAGAACTACAGGAGACAGAGGAGACAGAGAGAACTACAGGAGACACAGAGAACTACAGGAGACATAGAGAACTACAGGAGACATAGAGAACTACAGGAGACAGGAACTACAGGAGACATAGAGAACTACAGGAGACAGGAACTACAGGAGACACAGAGAACTACAGGAGACAGGAACTACAGGAGACATAGAGAACTACAGGAGACAGAGAGAACTACAGGAGACAGAGAGAACTACAGGAGACATAGAGAACTACAGGAGACATAGAGAACTACAGGAGACACAGAGAACTACAGGAGACATAGAGAACTACAGGAGACAGGAACTACAGGAGACATAGAGAACTACAGGAGACAGGAACTACAGGAGACATAGAGAACTACAGGAGACAGGAACTACAGGAGACAGGAACTACAGGAGACATAGAGAACTACAGGAGACATAGAGAACTACAGGAGACATAGAGAACTACAGGAGACAGAGAGAACTACAGGAGACATAGAGAACTACAGGAGACATAGAGAACTACAGGAGACAGGAACTACAGGAGACAGGAACTACAGGAGACATAGAGAACTACAGGAGACATAGAGAACTACAGGAGACACAGAGAACTACAGGAGACACAGAGAACTACAGGAGACACAGAGAACTACAGGAGACACAGAGAACTACAGGAGACACAGAGAACTACAGGAGACATAGAGAACTACAGGAGACACAGAGAACTACAGGAGACACAGAGAACTACAGGAGACACAGAGAACTACAGGAGACAGGAAGAGGGTTATTAAAAACTACAAATCGTATTATGCTGTCTTAAATGATGCTGAATGATTTATTTTCTATGTGAAAGCACAATGTGAAAAACTGTATAAATAAAGTGTTTTATTATTCTAATGAAACTTAAATGCATCTCTTTATCTTTCAGATCACGCGTGAGTCCATCGACGCTCTGAAGAACTGGTTCAGAGACGAGATGACGAAAGGAGACTGGCAGCTGATCATGGAGCTGAAGAAGACCTTCGAGATCATCTGAGGGAACACACACACTCTCTCACACACTCTCACACACTCACACACTCTCTCACACACTCTCACACACACACACACTCTCACACACACACACACACACTTTCTCCCTCAGATGACGCCGGAAAAAGTAAAAAAAAAAAACTGAAAAAAGACGTGAAAAGTGTTTTTCTGTGAGAAACGAACAGTTCTTTCCACTGTTGTAAACAGTGATAATTACACACACACACACACACACACACACACACACACACACACACACACACACACACACACACACTCACACACACACACACACACACACACACACACACACACACAGTATTCCAACGTGCCTGTTCTTCAGCATCAACGTTGTGTTTCTTCTCTGATTCGTGCCGGCTGCGCTCTCTCCTCCCGGCGTATTGAGCTAAACGAGGATCCAGCCCAGGTGCATTGTGGGATTTGTAGTGAACTAGTGAACAAGACCAGGAGCAAAAAAAGGAGGATTTTTTGTTTCTCAAAACACCAAACCCTGGAAGCGGCGTCAGACTCTCTCCGGAACGTTTGGGTGAAAAACTGAGGATTTAAAAATGTTTCTGCTGATGTAATAAATTCCCAGAATTCCTGCAGTTTCACTTCCGTTTCCTGTTCCTGTCTCACACCTCCACTTTATAGCAGAAACACATTCAAAGCCTTCAGAAGACACATTTAATATTCACTGATATTATGATTTAACATATATAAATTATGACTTCTTAATCTCAGAGAAGTTCTAAAAAAAATTCTGGGACATTTTGGAGTTTTTTCCAAAATGTTTAATATAGAGCCGAAGAACATTCTCTGGGATTATGGTTTACTGAAACACTTTATGATTTTATAATCTCAGAATATCTGATTTGTTTTCTGGTAAATGTGTTTGTTGGGTTTTACTTTCTAAAAGACGGTTCATGATATCATTAAACTGTGTTGCAAAGTGTTTACTGGGTTAATTATCTGACGGTTTGAAACCCTGCGCCTGAAATAATCCCAGCTTTTCCGTTTGTTCCCTAATTTTTATTTTTATTTAAATCAAAATTAGGGAACAAACCTTAAAAAAACTTGCTGTTTCTCTTTTCTCTGTAATTCATTTTCACCTCATTTCTATAAAAAGTGCGCGGATAGGCATTTCATCGTGATGCGTTCAAGAGCAGCAAACTGGTTTTCATACTCCCTCATGGTGCGTTCAAGGACAGTCTGACATTTTAAACCTTTTAGTGAAAAACAGACATTTTAGATCCAGAAAGTCCATGAATTGAAAGCGTTGTGTGACGTCTTTAAAGGTACGTTCATCTTTTAAAGAATCGGTTCCCATGATGTCGGATATTTGCAATGCAAATTAAAAAAGAATTAAAATCTGTATATCCTCATGTGAAGCTTTAATGTGTTTGTGTTTACTTTTAGATATATTTAAAGCAAAATCACAATAACAACAAACCAAATGTCAAACAATTCAGATTCACTTTTAGCTTTTTTACATCCAGATAGGAAAGATCATGTTTTACAATAAATATTATTTTAGCATTGAATTGATTTAGACGGTGAAGAGATCCTTCCGTCTTCTCCCGCCTGTCCGTCGGGTCGCGGAGGAAGCAGCTGAAGTCAACAATGAAGACGAAGAGCTTTACTAACACACTGCTTTAATGTAACACTGAAATCACAAAACAACAACAAGCTACGTAAACAAAGCACAACGTGTGCAAAATAACAACAGGGGGTAAAATAACGCATGATGACATACATCGGCAAACTTATCAATTAGCATTTTTGTATACGAACGTTTTTTAATCCAACAAAAGGATAATGTTCTGTAATTGCTAGGTTTAAGATTTAAATTGAATTTAAAATGGACCTCAACTAAATAATGAATATCATAAATGTATAGAAATGGAGAGAAATTAGGGTTAAAGTTAGAAATGACATTCGAGCTGCAAATCTACCTTTAAGCTAAACTATGTTTAAGCGTAGCTGCTCTGTTTCATACCACATGAAGATGGTAAAGAACAACAACAACAGAATCTACAAACAATAAATGAACTCATTCTGCACTTTGCACCTTATTCAGTTGCCTTTGTGTTTTCCACACAGTTCCACCTCAGAGGTGAGTGCAGATACGTTTGAGTCAAACTCTAGACTTGGAGTTCAGGACGCTTTGTTCAGGCGTCAGACGGCGGCGGGGATGAACAGTCCGTGGAGGTCCATGTGCACGTCAGCATCGATGGACGCTCGGGCGATCTCTGTGAAGGTTTTGGCGTCGAGGACGAGCATGAAGGGCGAGATGTTGGGATCCGGAGAGATGACGGACGATAAGATCACGCCTGAGAGAAGAGGAAGGAAAACGGTCAGACTGTGATGGAAACTTCTGGATCAATGGAGACTCAGAGAGACACAGAGAGACACAGAGAGACACAGAGAGACTCAGAGAGACACAGAGAGACTCAGAGAGACTCAGAGAGACTCAGAGAGACACAGAGAGACTCAGAGAGACACAGAGAGACTCAGAGAGACTCAGAGAGACTCAGAGACACACAGAGAGACACAGAGAGACACAGAGAGACTCAGAGAGACACAGAGAGACACAGAGAGACTCAGAGAGACTCAGAGAGACTCAGAGAGACACAGAGAGACACAGAGAGACTCAGAGAGACTCAGAGAGACTCAGAGAGACACAGAGAGACTCAGAGAGACTCAGAGAGACTCAGAGAGACACAGAGAGACTCAGAGAGACTCAGAGAGACTCAGAGAGACTCAGAGAGACACAGAGAGACTCAGAGAGCAGGAGCTTTGATGGAAACACTGATGGTTTATTTGGAGCTTCGGCGGAGAATTCACAAGACATGTTCTGTGTTTCTGAAGATCTCTACCCCAGACCATGTATTTCAACCCAGTCTCACGCCATTTCGTGTTATAGTCACGAAATTAATTTAATCTATTGATTCGTGTTCACCAACACGATTTTCGCATTTTTTTCGTGTCACACAGAACGATTTCAAAAGCAATGTATTTCTATTGGTAGTATGTTTCGTGCCTGCAACACGTCTTTTTGTCCGGTCGGGTCTTGGAAGACCAGAAGCTGTGTGGTTCATAAAAACATGTTCTTACTCAATATCTTACCCTAAGCCTAACCCTATCCCTTTTATTTTAAATTGTATAATGTCTGAGTTCTTTTGCCGTCCGTGAGGAAAAGAAATGTCTCAGAGCCTCAGAATACTGACATCTGTATTTTATGTCAGCTTTTTTTCCTTCTAATTTGTTATTATTTGGTGCAGGCACGAAACATACTACCAATAGAAATACATTGCTTCTAAAATCGTTCTGTGTCAGAATACTGAAATCTGTATTTTTTTAAATGTCTTTTTCCTTCTAATTTGTTATTATTTACATTGCTTTTAAAATCGTTCTGTGTGACATGAAAAAAATGGGAAAATCGTGTTGGTGAACACGAATCAATAGATTAATTTCGTGACTATAACACGAAATGCCGTGAGACTGGGTTGTGTATTTAGTTCTGAGAGAAGAATCAACATGCTGCAGAACAAGATGCATCACTATAACCTCTATCAGCTGACGCCAGCAGGAGGAGCAGAGAGACACTGAGAGCAGCTCAAGGTGCAGGCAAACTGGGTCAAAGTTATGGGCCTATAGGAAAATATTTCCCCAACAAAACTAACCGCCATTTTCTCAAGATTAGCGTTAGCATTAGCTCACCGTCGTCTTCCTCCACGGCTCCTGGAGACGCCACGAACACCGGCTCCGAGGCGAAAGCAGTTCTCCTGATGCCACTCCAACAGATTCCTGCTGACCACGTCAAACTTTGCGATCTGTCGGACGAGAAAAGTTTTAGTCCAGACCGAGTTATTTGATCAGCGGTTGATTCATGATTTCTTAGCGATGTTGGGATCAATGTTGTACCTTGCTGGGATGAGCCGATAACTCCATCTTTGAGGCGTAGAAGTATCGGTACTTCTTAGCGTTGAAGTTGTAGTTGATGCCCGGGAGCTCCAGACCTGAGAATTAAAGACTCGTTAGCTAACGACAAACAAACAAAGTTCGTTTTTCTGAGCGTTAAGACTCATTCTGTGGTCGAGCGGTGCAACAAATTGGTCTTACTTTCAGGTTGATTGGATTACTCCTGTAGTCCCAAAATACGACTTAATTAGCACTGTAAATAGATGTATTAAGATACGTACAGTAGTGTATCGTCAGCGTAGAGTCAGATGCTTTTTTTTAAAATACGCAATCCTCTGTTTATAGGATTATAAAAGTGTCATTTCCATTTAAAGGGGACACTGTAAGCTCCCAAATGTCTCTTTAACCAGTTATTTGTGCAGGTGTCAGGCCTCAGAAGCTGTAACCTTTCAGTGAACCAACCTTTGAACAGGAAGTCGGGCTGGCAGTAGACGGATCCGTCCTCCTTCATCACCGCCGTCGCCGTCTCTCCCTCCAGAGTCACCAGGTTAGATCCTCTGGGAGCCTCCTGCAAACACAAGCTTTATAATAAACCTTATGAACCTGTTAGAGAAATCTCACTGGTCTCCGGCTTGATCTTCAATCTCAGGATCCATGTATCTGTGATCCTCTCCAGAATGGAAGTAGTCATCACATACAGAGCATCAACTAGTTCCTGAACAGTGTCCTTCACATGCTGATATCCAAGAGAGGGAGTTACACAGTCACAAGATGGAGGAATAGAAAGCAGTATTCAATGTTTACTTCAGATTAGCTCCACGTCAGAAATGAGCATGCTTGTCATATGTCTCTCTCCATAGAGGCTGAATCATCATGTTCATCACATAGCTATTGTTAAGGAATAATTCTTCTAGATATCTAACCTTTTGCTCTGTGACGTTTTATGATCTACTCTGACGTCTGTTATCTCCTTTAAGGAAAGGCCTTGGTGCCATATGTGTTGTCATCAGTTTGTGACCGGTCAACTTGTCTGGCACGAAGGGTAATTGTTGTGAGAACGCTGAGGCACTTCTTTATCGGTGTTTGTGGACTCTAAGATGTGAAATCTTTGAGGCCATGAGTGTCGGACGCAGGTGGCTCAGTGTTCCCAGCTGTTTAGTCTACTCCTTCAGAGATGTTGATTTCTCTCTGTGAACCAGTTCAAAGGTCTAGCATAGAGAGAGGTTCTTCAGAATTGACGTGGCAACTCTACCGTGTAGGTCAGAACCTCTGACTCTTTGACTTGTGATGTGAATCCTCCGGCCGAATACTCTGAATAAACCCATCAGTGTTTGACATCAAAGCTCCAACTCTCACCGTGTCTCCTTCCTGAGTCGGTGACTCCATGCATTACTACACAGAAGTTTCCTCCACAGCTATCATATGCCTCAAACAGTCCTGATGCTCTTCTAGGTAATCATACATCCTGTCATGTTCACAGCTACAGTTGGGATACCTTAGTTATCATGGTACTCTCATGTTGGAAGAGGACATTCAGGATTTTCACAAAACCTTTGAATCTTGACTCTTGACTCTTGAATCTTGTACCTTGTTGTCGGCGAGCGGCAGGACGAACCTCAGCACGTCGGGGATGCAGGAGCTCCGGTTCTCCTCCATGAAGCTGCCCACGTCCTGCTTCAGGTTCTTCATGTAGAACATCTCGTACAGTTTGCTGTCCTCGTAGCTGATCAGGTCGAACACCACGTGGCCGTCCGACTCGTACGCGTTGATGTGATGGAAAACAACCAGAGCGTCGGCGTAGAAACGCGTGGACACCGCCTTCCCCGTGTGCTTGTTGACGACGTGGAACAACGTCTGAGGAGAGAAAGGTAAACAAACAACGGCCTTCAGCTGCTTCTCTAATGCTAATGAAAGGTGCTTCAACGCTTCCTTTCCTATCTCCTTTGGCAGAGTGTAATGGTTTCCAACATGGGGGTCCGTATCTCCACTAGGGGTCGCTTCAGCTTTACGTTGGACATCCTATTTAAGACATACAGTTAGATCTCAGAAACAGAAGCTTTCGACTCACGATGTCGTCCTTGTCGAACTTCAGGCAGCTGCCCCAGTTGATGCCTCTGAAGTAGGCGGTGGCGAGCTTCATGATGTCCAGTTTGTACGGCTGCTCCACGAACACGATGTAGTTCTCCGTCATGCCGAAGCTGTGGTAGTAGCTCGGGAACAACGTGGAGCGAAAGGGGATCGAACCGATCTGCTCCACCTTCCTCAGAGCCGGCTTCCCGTGCTGCTTATCTGGAACCAACAGAGAGAAGCACGTTAGTATCTTTATTCGATCATTGGAGCTCGTTCTACTGCCTTCTTCTTCTTCCTGTTCCCTCGTGTGTTAGTCAATGTGGAGAGATGAAACGTAACCAATATGATGGCTCTCTGTTATGAACAGGTGCTGCGCAGGGATTCAGGTTGGCTAGCTAGCTAGCTTGGGAAAACAATCATTTATGTTACTGTTATTTGACAAAATCTACTTTCAAAACATAACACAATAATTGGGTAACTCTACGGACCTCCTGGGGGCCCCATGTTGAATATCAATGATCCAGTGCCATCATTACTGTCCCATACTTTGGTTTTTGACAAAGATTCTGCAGAATGATGACATTTCTCAGGCTCACGCTGACTTTCCTGCGAATGCTTCTATTAGCTTGGATGCTAAACATTGTAAGCATTGTCTTTGAGGGCTACAAGTCCACAGTTCAGGAATAATCTAGCCAATAAACGCCCAGAAATATGGACCTTTTCTCTCCTAGATATCACCCGTCGTATATCCGTGAGTTATCATGTGATTAGATAACGATCACTGGAGACTGACACGTTGCCAACACGTTGGAGGACACTTTCTGATTAGTCTGATTACAGCATCGTAAACCAATTAGATAAAGACGAGTTTTACTGCCTCAAATGGTTCATTAGTCTGGAACACAACGTGCTCAATTATCTTGAGAAACGCACCTGAAGCGTCTCCTGGGACTTTGAAGATGACGTACTTTGGGAGGCCGAAGCTCATCATGGCGGTCCCCATGTTGTAGGTGTTGCCTTCACTGTCGTAGTGAGGGTGGGCCGTGGCCAGGTTCAGGGCGATGTGGTCCCTGTAGTTAATCTGAGACATAGATCAGGGTTTAGTGAGGGTCCCTGTAGTTAATCTGAGACATAGATCAGGGTTTAGTGAGGGTCCCTGTAGTTAAACTGAGACATAGATCAGGGTTTAGTGAGGGTCCCTGTAGTTAAACTGAGACAATAGATCAGGGTTTAGTGAGGGTCCCTGTAGTTTAATCTGAGACATAGATCAGGGTTTAGTGAGGGTCCCTGTAGTTAATCTGAGACATAGATCAGGGTTTAGTGAGGGTCCCTGTAGTTAAACTGAGACATAGATCAGGGTTTAGTGAGGGTCCCTGTAGTTAAACTGAGACATAGATCAGGGTTTAGTGAGGGTCCCTGTAGTTAAACTGAGACATAGATCAGGGTTTAGTGAGGGTCCCTGTAGTTAAACTGAGACATAGATCAGGGTTTAGTGAGGGTCCCTGTAGTTAATCTGAGACATAGATCAGGGTTTAGTGAGGGTCCCTGTAGTTAAACTGAGACATAGATCAGGGTTTAGTGAGGGTCCCTGTAGTTAAACTGAGACATAGATCAGGGTTTAGTGAGGGTCCCTGTAGTTAATCTGAGACATAGATCAGGGTTTAGTGAGGGTCCCTGTAGTTAATCTGAGACATAGATCAGGGTTTAGTGAGGGTCCCTGTAGTTAAACTGAGACATAGATCAGGGTTTAGTGAGGGTCCCTGTAGTTAAACTGAGACATAGATCAGGGTTTAGTGAGGGTCCCTGTAGTTAAACTGAGACATAGATCAGGGTTTAGTGAGGGTCCCTGTAGTTAAACTGAGACATAGATCAGGGTTTAGTGAGGGTCCCTGTAGTTAATCTGAGACATAGATCAGGGTTTAGTGAGGGTCCCTGTAGTTAAACTGAGACATAGATCAGGGTTTAGTGAGGGTCCCTGTAGTTAACTGAGGCATAGATCAGGGTTTAGTGAGGGTCCCTGTAGTTAATCTGAGACATAGATCAGGGTTTAGTGAGGGTCCCTGTAGTTAATCTGAGACATAGATCAGGGTTTAGTGAGGGTCCCTGTAGTTAATCTGAGACATAGATCAGGGTTTAGTGAGGGTCCCTGTAGTTAATCTGAGACATAGATCAGGGTTCAGTGAGGGTCCCTGTAGTTAATCTGAGACATAGATCAGGGTTTAGTGAGGGTCCCTGTAGTTAATCTGAGACATAGATCAGGGTTTAGTGAGGGTCCCTGTAGTTAATCTGAGACATAGATCAGGGTTTAGTGAGGGTCCCTGTAGTTAATCTGAGACATAGATCAGGGTTTAGTGAGGGTCCCTGTAGTTAATCTGAGACATAGATCAGGGTTTAGTGAGGGTCCCTGTAGTTAATCTGAGGTATAGATCAGGGTTCAGTGAGGGTCCCTGTAGTTAATCTGAGACATAGATCAGGGTTTAGTGAGGGTCCCTGTAGTTAAACTGAGACATAGATCAGGGTTTAGTGAGGGTCCCTGTAGTTAATCTGAGGTATAGATCAGGGTTCAGTGAGGGTCCCTGTAGTTAATCTGAGACATAGATCAGGGTTCAGTGAGGGTCCCTGTAGTTAATCTGAGGTATAGATCAGGGTTCAGTGAGGGTCCCTGTAGTTAATCTGAGACATAGATCAGGGTTTAGTGAGGGTCCCTGTAGTTAAACTGAGACATAGATCAGGGTTTAGTGAGGGTCCCTGTAGTTAATCTGAGACATAGATCAGGGTTTAGTGAGGGTCCCTGTAGTTAATCTGAGACATAGATCAGGGTTTAGTGAGGGTCCCTGTAGTTAAACTGAGACATAGATCAGGGTTTAGTGAGGGTCCCTGTAGTTAAACTGAGACATAGATCAGGGTTTAGTGAGGGTCCCTGTAGTTAATCTGAGACATAGATCAGGGTTTAGTGAGGGGTCCCTGTAGTTAATCTGAGACATAGATCAGGGTTTAGTGAGGGTCCCCTGTAGTTAAACTGAGACATAGATCAGGGTTTAGTGAGGGTCCCTGTAGTTAAACTGAGACATAGATCAGGGTTTAGTGAGGGTCCCTGTAGTTAAACTGAGACATAGATCAGGGTTTAGTGAGGGTCCCTGTAGTTAAACTGAGACATAGATCAGGGTTTAGTGAGGGTCCCTGTAGTTAATCTGAGACATAGATCAGGGTTTAGTGAGGGTCCCTGTAGTTAAACTGAGACATAGATCAGGGTTTAGTGAGGGTCCCTGTAGTTAAACTGAGACATAGATCAGGGTTTAGTGAGGGTCCCTGTAGTTAATCTGAGACATAGATCAGGGTTTAGTGAGGGTCCCTGTAGTTAATCTGAGACATAGATCAGGGTTTAGTGAGGGTCCCTGTAGTTAAACTGAGACATAGATCAGGGTTTAGTGAGGGTCCCTGTAGTTAAACTGAGACATAGATCAGGGTTTAGTGAGGGTCCCTGTAGTTAAACTGAGACATAGATCAGGGTTTAGTGAGGGTCCCTGTAGTTAAACTGAGACATAGATCAGGGTTTAGTGAGGGTCCCTGTAGTTAATCTGAGACATAGATCAGGGTTTAGTGAGGGTCCCTGTAGTTAAACTGAGACATAGATCAGGGTTTAGTGAGGGTCCCTGTAGTTAAACTGAGACATAGATCAGGGTTTAGTGAGGGTCCCTGTAGTTAATCTGAGACATAGATCAGGGTTTAGTGAGGGTCCCTGTAGTTAATCTGAGACATAGATCAGGGTTTAGTGAGGGTCCCTGTAGTTAATCTGAGACATAGATCAGGGTTTAGTGAGGGTCCCTGTAGTTAATCTGAGACATAGATCAGGGTTCAGTGAGGGTCCCTGTAGTTAATCTGAGACATAGATCAGGGTTTAGTGAGGGTCCCTGTAGTTAATCTGAGACATAGATCAGGGTTTAGTGAGGGTCCCTGTAGTTAATCTGAGACATAGATCAGGGTTTAGTGAGGGTCCCTGTAGTTAATCTGAGACATAGATCAGGGTTTAGTGAGGGTCCCTGTAGTTAATCTGAGACTAGATCAGGGTTAGTGAGGGTCCCTGTAGTTAATCTGAGGTATAGATCAGGGTTCAGTGAGGGTCCCTGTAGTTATCTGAGACATAGATCAGGGTTCAGTGAGGGTCCCTGTAGTTAAACTGAGACATAGATCAGGGTTTAGTGAGGGTCCCTGTAGTTAATCTGAGGTATAGATCAGGGTTCAGTGAGGGTCCCTGTAGTTAATCTGAGACATAGATCAGGGTTCAGTGAGGGTCCCTGTAGTTAATCTGAGGTATAGATCAGGGTTCAGTGAGGGTCCCTGTAGTTAATCTGAGACATAGATCAGGGTTTAGTGAGGGTCCCTGTAGTTAAACTGAGACATAGATCAGGGTTTAGTGAGGGTCCCTGTAGTTAATCTGAGGTATAGATCAGGGTTCAGTGAGGGTCCCTGTAGTTAATCTGAGACATAGATCAGGGTTCAGTGAGGGTCCCTGTAGTTAATCTGAGGTATAGATCAGGGTTCAGTGAGGGTCCCTGTAGTTAATCTGAGACATAGATCAGGGTTTAGTGAGGGTTCCTGTACCCTGAGCAGCGCCTGCAGGATAACGTTATTTTGGATTGAAGTTATTATTATTCTGATGAACGTACCCTCCCCACGGTCTCCAGGGTCTCCGGGTCGATCTGGTTCATGTAGTTGACCTCCGACGAGGCGTAGTAGTCCTGCCCGTACCGGATGATGTTGATCAGGTTGTTGTCCGTGAAGTCCGGGATGACGTTGCTGAGGTGTGTGAAGACCCTGGAGAGAGGAGGAAAGACACTTAGCCAGCGATAACCCATCCTCAGGTGGAGTTAAGGTCTCCTCTGTGGGTAAATAAACATCTCTATATGGACTAAAATGGGTTCAAACAGATCTATACGTCTCCTGGATGGACTGAATCAGACCTCTATACGTCTCTGGATGGACTGAATCAGACCTCTAGATGTCCTGGATGGACTGAATCAGACCTCTATACGTCTCTGGATGGACTGAATCAGACCTCTGGATGTCCTGGATGGACTGAATCAGACCTCTATACGTCTCTGGATGGACTGAATCAGACCTCTATACGTCTCTGGATGGACTGAATCAGACCTCTGGATGTCGTGGATGGACTGAATCAGACCTCTAGATGTCGTGGATGGACTGAATCAGACCTCTAGATGTCGTGGATGGACTGAATCAGACCTCTAGATGTCGTGGATGGACTGAATCAGACCTCTGGATGTCGTGGATGGACTGAATCAGACCTCTAGATGTCGTGGATGGACTGAATCAGACCTCTAGATGTCCTGGATGGACTGAATCAGACCTCTAGATGTCCTGGATGGACTGAATCAGACCTCTAGATGTCGTGGATGGACTGAATCAGACCTCTAGATGTCCTGGATGGACTGAATCAGACCTCTAGATGTCCTGGATGGACTGAATCAGACCTCTAGATGTCCTGGATGGACTGTAACAGATCTCCCCATGTCTTTGAGAGACTAAAACAGATCTATATGTCTCATGGACTATAATAGATCTTTGCGTACAATGAATGGACTTTGGCGAACTAAGACTTGACATGTCTAAGATTAGCTCAAAAAAGATCTCTATATGTCCTAGATGCATTAACACAGATCTCTAGGTGTCCTGGATGGTTTAAAACTGATCTATAAAGATACTGGATGGTCTGAAAGCATATTGTCCTCGTACCGTGAGAAGATGTTCTTGATGGACTAAACCAGATCTCTATATGTCTTGGATGGATTAATATGGTCTGAATCAGATCTCTACATGTCTTGGATGGACTGATATGGTCTGAAAGCGTTGTGTACCGTGAGAAGATGTTCTTGCAGGGGTCCGGGTAGATCATGGTCCCGAACTCTGAGACCACGATCCGGTTCGCCTTGATGTTCCTCTTGTAGGTGTCGCTCTTCAGGAACTTGCTCCTGTAGGTGACCTCACCTGGAGAGCAGCAGGTAGAGAGTCAGCATCACTGAGGTTATTATGGGATGTTTGTGTACGTTAGAACACTTCCTGTTTGCTCACCCCCGCTGAAGGTGAAGCTGTGGATGAGTGACAGCCCGTCAAACCAGTGGTTGTACTGGGACTCTCCCACTGAGAAGAGACCGGGGCCGTTCCTCAGCAGGGAGCCCCTCAGCCAGGGGGGGAGCTCACCTGGGGTCAGAGGTCACACAGGTGAACAAGCATTAAGTATAGGAATAAAGTTAAACCATATTTCACGTAAAAAGAGTCAATCCTGTGGGTCTTAAATGATAAATTAATATTTTTAAAATTACATACAAATAAAAATACCTGCAAAATAAATTAAGAAAAAACTAAATAAAGTAAATAAAATATGTCTAGCTCTTTAACTCAAAGCACCGGTCCAATAGAAATCACAACACCTGATGATAAAGACTCAGAGTCTCACCTGTCACCTGAGCCTTCACCGGCTCCAGAGTCTCGCTCCCGTTTTTCCCGAATATTTGATCCATGTTCCTCGTATGTATTTCCCAGAATGCACCTCTCCACACACACTGCTCGCACACTGACAGCAGCTGCTGTTATGAAGCCTTCATGTGACTCTTCATCAGATATCACCTGTGGACTTCACCCGGATTTTCACAATAAAAGCCTCTGTGGTGCTGACCTCTTTAAAGACTGTCAAAGTATATGTAGGTAGTAGCACCCAAACATTGCTTACCATCCTCTGAAAGATACGCAGTGTGTCCACACACTGCGTATCTAAAGTGGTCGATAACCCGGGCTTTTATTTTGAAGGGGCCGAGCAGCAGAGGAACCCTTGGACTCGAATCATTAAAGCTAAATCAGATCATCTGCAAACAGACGATAACAGCCGAGCAATGGGACATCCCATAATCTCCGTCTGCAGAGAGAGACAGGTAGAGAGAGAGTGAGAGAGAGAGAGACAGGTAGAGAGAGAGAGTGAGAGAGAGAGAGAGACAGGTAGAGAGAGAGTGAGAGAGAGAGTCAGGTTA